TTTTTGAAACTATATGAGAATTTGTTAAAGAAAACAAGTGTAATTTGCTACAATTTGAGGAACTTGACTTATACTTATGGATGTAGTAGCTCAAAATACCATCTGAGAAGGAAGGAGTCTTCACATCAAGGATCAATTCTGTCCCCTCTGTGCACAGGGTTGATAGGGACAGGCAACGTAAGACATTGGCTACTTAAAATGAGAGGGCGATAAAGGCACGAAGTGACTGGCTTACAAGTTTTCAAGAAGGAGTTTAATTTCATAGTGTGCAGAGGAAGGTAGAATCCTCACTGAATAGGTCTCATCTTGTCTAGACAGGTCTGGTGAAAAGAGACGGGGATAAGATTCATATGAGTCAATAGTGAGTAATTGTTATCATGACTAATTGTGATTGTCACCACTGTAAAGGTAGAAGTTTTGTAATGTAAAAGGGGGAGTAGTTAATCTTATAGTTCAGGAACAGAGGACCCTAGAACCATCAAGGGAGAAAAGCATGAGCGGAATGTGGGACCTTCTCCAGAAAAGCAGTGACACCAGAGATGGAAGCAGAGATGAGGACATGGAGAGAGGGAACAGCGGAGGACTCTAAACTTTCTCTAGAAAGAGAAAGACTGTGTGTTGGCAGCCAGGAGACAGGCTTGCAGAATATGCCCCTTGTTTGTTTAAATTATTATATATTCCTGAATGTTTTGGTGTACATCCAAAAAAAAAGAGAGCGAATAGAAGCAAATGCTGTTGAATGATGATGCATGGAGAGGATTGTAATCATTGCAATGAAATGAAATACAATAGGATGAGTGTAAAACCGATGATCTCCCATGTAAACTATCACTCAATTCACAATGAAAACTTGAAAAAACTCACATCAACTCAAAAAATTATCTATGAACACAGTGAGTTTATGTAAATGGGGAGAAATATCTCAAAGAAGGAGGGTGAGAATGGTTTTAGAAATCAAAGAATGAAGTTAGTGTCAATGAATTGTGCAGGTAGAGACTGTTGTTGACTTGGTGTGTTTACTGTGTATAATCTCAAGAACAGCAAAATAAATCCCCTGTGTTTTCTTCTAAGAGTTTTATAGTTTGGGATCTCATTTATGTCCTAAATCCATTTTGAATTAATTTGTATATATGTTGTTGTTGTTGTTAAGTGCCATGGAATCAGTTTCGACTCATAGCAACCATGTATGGGGTTTCTGAGGAGAAGCTGGTGAGCTTGAATCACCAATCTTGTGGTTCAAAGTGACTTTGCCATCCAGTGCATTAACCCACAGTGATACACCAGGACTCCTTTTTTTTAGTATATAGTGTGAGGTAAAGGAGCACCATGGCTCTGTAGGATAAGCACTGGACTGCTAACCACAAGGTCGGCAGGTCAAGTCTACCAACTGCTCTGCAGGAGAAAAATTCGGCGTTCTGCTACTGAAAAGATTTGCAGCCTCAGAAACCCTATGTAGGGTTGCTATGAGCTGGAACCAACTCGATGGCATTTAACAGCAACAACAACAGTGGGAAGTATGGATCCGTTTCATTTTCTGTACATGTCTCAGCACATTTATTAAAGAGACTCTTCTTTTCCCTCATTGAATGGACTCTTGGAAAAACTCAGTTGACCATAATGTATTAATTTACCTCTGGACAACAAACCAATTCTATTTCATTGGTCTGTATGCCTATCATTTTATCAGTACCAGGCTGTTTTGATTACTGTAGCTTTGTCATATGTTTTAAAGTCAGAGAATATGAGTCTTCTATATTGATGTTCTTTTTAAAGATTGCTTTGTCTATTGGGGTTCCTGGTCATGCCATATAAATCTGAGGATTGGCTTTTTTCATTTTTGCAAAGAAAGATGTGGGAATTCTGACCCCAGGTTCTTTTGAGGGAGAGATACCACAATATTCTGTTTCTCCTCGAAGGGCAGTAAGGATGAGATTTTTATCTTCCTCCAGGTCATAATGAGTTTTCTACCTTTAGGAATTCTTAAGGCTTTCTGGCTTCCAACTTTTTTCCCCTCAAGCGATTCTTCCCACTAGACAAGAATACCTATCAGTAACTTCACCCCTAATTCCCAACTGTGATACCACCACCAGCGCTGTCCATACTTTTATAGAAACCAGTGCTAACTAAGCTGAGTGCACGGGAGGAGTGAAGACAAAGGTGGAGAAAACACAGACCATTGAATTGTTTTTTGTTTTTTTTTTTAATTTTCCATCCTCACTTCCCGTAATACATAGTGTAGAAATCCAAGCATAGTTGGAATTCAGCATTCCTAGCTGGAGTTCTGGTGTGGTGCTGTGGGTTAATGCGCTGGACTGCAAAGTTGGTTTGAACCACAAGGTTGGCGGCACAAGCTCACCAGCCACTCCTCAGAAACCCTATACAGGGCCTCTATGGGTCAGAACCAACTCGGCGGCACTTAACAACAATCTGATAGAAGGTCTGTGGGCCAGTCACCGTTTACCAACTATTCCATGTATGTCCCTAGATCCCATCTAGCCTATACTTCATATTCCTGTTTGATTGGTCATTTTATTAAATTAGGTGGCAGATGGACCTTCTTAAATTGTCACTGTCTATGGATGGTGCAAATAATTAACACGCTCAGCTACTAACTGAAAAGTTGGGGTTCAAATCCACCCATAGGCACCTGGGAGTAAAGGCCTGACCATCTACTTCTGAAAAATCAGCCACTGAAAACCCTGCGGAGCACAGTTCTATTCTTCTGATACATGGGGTCGCCATAAGGTAGATGAAGTCCACGCCCTGGTAACTGAATTCACTGCTAAAGTATAAATAATAAGATGCTTCATTTTAGTAATTAATTATGTGATTCAAGTGGGTTTAGTTCATTGTCTCAAACATCATAGCTCATAATGTGTTAACTGGATTTTCCATTTATGTCACTGAGGAGTTATTGGCAAAACACCAAGGGAAAAACAGCTCTTTAGAAACAAGGGAAGGAAGTTCATTGAGTTTATATTGCTGTTATTAAGTGCTGTGGAGTTGATCCTGACTCCTAGTGACCCTGTGTAGTTTCCAAGGAGCGACTGGTGGGTTTGAACTGCCGACCTTGTGATTTACAGTCCAGTGCTGATCCTATAGTGCCACTAGACGTACCAATAATTTAAAACATAATTGAAAATTTCAAAGGAGACTCTCATGCATTCACATGTTATAGGGAGATTTCTCTTGGATAATATCACTTCATGTAAGATTTATTGATGTGCAGTATAACCTCATGCTCCTTTCCATCATCAACAGCACACATTTTGAGTGTGCGTTGACTTGCCTGTGTTTAAAGATTCCTTCAGCGAAAGATAAAAATTTCACTTCGAGTTAATCTGGAAATGAATCACAAAATTTAACTATGTCTTTGTGACTCAATATTATCACTAAGTTTGCTGGACTTCACTCAGTTGTTGTTGTTAAGTTCATTGAGTTGGTTCTGACTCATATTGACCCATATAGGGTTTCCGAGGAGCATCTGGTGGATTTGAACCCCCAACCTTGCTATTAGCAATCCAGTGCCGATCCTAGAGCACCATACCAGGAGTCCACTCAGAACCAGTTCTAAAAACAACTCTATAAAATCACCATTTTATTTTTGAGGAGATGCATTTTCTAATTTTCTAACAATGAACTTATTTGGCCTTTATTAATAAAACTGTTTATATATGTGTGAGTTGGCTCAATTTAAGAGGTAAAGCTAGGAACATCATACTCACTGCTTCATAAAAAGTTACCCTACAAAAATCCAGACTGGGATTACCTGTGGCTCCCTGCTGACCATCTAGCATTGTCCTCTGCAGAGAAGCTATCCATACCTACAAGGCAATTCCTGGCCATGTTTGCTCTAATGGCTCATGCTGGGGTGTCCACCCTTCTGTTCGTCCCATCTCTTCCCTTTCACTATAGCCCCATCCACAGCATTTCAAACATGCTGCTGTTCTCAGTCCCTGTCAATCGTTTGAAATCAAGTCAGCTTTCTCATGGCGACCCCGTGTGTTACAGAGTAGTACTGCTCCTTAGGGTTTGCTTGACTGTAATGGTTATGAAGTCATGGTGTGGCTCTGTAGGATAGGCATTCGCCTGTAAGGTCAGTTTGAAATGCAAGGTCGGTGGTTCAAGCTCACCATCTACTCCTCAAAAGCCCTATACTGGGTTTCTCCTCATGGGAACCAACTCAATGACACATAACACCAACAACAGCAGTCTTTCCGGAAGCAGATTGCCAGAGCTGCACCACTGGGTGTGTTCAAATGGCAACCATTTGGTTCATGTTGTTAGTGCCATTGAGTCAGTTCCGACCCATAGCAACCCTGTAAAAGGTTTTCGAGGAGCAGTTGATGAGCTTGAACTGCCGATCTTGCAGTTCAAGCCAACTTTGCAGTCCAGTGCATTAACCCACAGCGCCACACCAGGATAATGTTGTTGTGAAGTGCCGTCGAGTCGGTTCCGACCCATAGCGACCCTGTACAGGGTTTCCAAGGGTGTAAATCTTTACGGGAGTAGAAAGCCTCATCTTTCTCCCGCCACCAGGATAATAGTAGAACACAAACCACTTAGGCCAACCTGGGACCTTACGTCTATGCCAACCACCTTAATAGCTTAGAAAGCTAGAATCTCTCATCTTTTTCATTCCTGGATCTCTGTTACAGATTGATCCTTTGACCTCTTCTATGAGGTTGCAAATGAATTTCCCTTTAGCACTTGGGAGTTCGTGATCTGAACTAGAAAATTGCATGGAATGAATTCATAGCGCTCGTTTTGTTCTGCTGCCACCATCAAGAAACTCAGCTTTCCTATAATGATCAGCTCTAAGAAATGATAACAAATGGCATTTTAATTGCCTGGTAGACTTTGTCTCTTAGGTCTGGACAACTGGGTTTTAGAACATTGATTACCCTTTAATTTCCTAATGTGACATGGCTGCATTGGTTTTTCTATGGTGCCTTGGCCCAAATTAATTTCCTCTTTCCTCCTTCTCTCTTTGTCAACAGCTCTGAGCAGCGGGTCCCCTGTTCCACCTCTTACCATAGCTCTGGTTTGCACTCGGGTGATGGGATCACAAAAGGACCTCTGGGCCTTCCGGAAATAAGACAAGTGCCAACTGTTGTGATTGAATGTGATGACAATAAAGAAAATGTGCCTCATGAGTCAGACTACGAAGACTCTTCTTGCCTGTACACAAGGGAAGAGGAGGAAGAGGACGAGGATGAGGATGATGACAGCTCATTGTATACCAGTATGTCCTTCCAATCTCTGTATGGGGGATGCGTGGTAATATGGATGGAGAAGGCTCTGTGTTCTAATCCTGGGTCTCATGTTAACTGGCCCTGGGTAGCTCCATTAACTTCGTTGAGCCTTGGTTTTTCAATCTAAGTCAAGAAGAGCTATGCCTGTTAAATGCCATCATAGCTCTAAAGAATTGTAATACCATGCTACCATCTTCTCCCTCTTCAGATCTTTCTTTCTTTGATGGTTTCCCTTGAAATGCAAACACACTCCCCTTAAAAAAAAAAAGGAGAGGTAAAGATCTAAAAGCTTGTTCTAGTTCAGAAAACACTTAAAAATACTAACCGTTATGGATGCAACAAATTCACTTGTAAGCATACTTCAGCAACTTCAGAAGGGCTAAATTTAAATTTCATATTGAAGGCCTTTAAAATGAAGAAAGCCAAGTTTAAAATCCTGTCATACTGGCCATAAATCATGAATAAATTTTAATTATATGAATACAGCCTGGTATTGGATCAGCCATTAAGTAGATGCATTTCTAATACTAGGCATGTATATATACTATACCAACCAGTTAGTGGATATAGAATAGAGTCTTTGGGTAGTATAAATGGTTAACTCTGTTAGTCACTAGTCAAAAGGTTGGGAGTTCAAATCCACCCAGAGTCATCTTGGAAGAAAGGCCTGGAGATTACTTCCAAATAATTAGCCTTTGAAACCGTGTGAAGTACAGGTCTACTCTAAATCCATGGGGACACCAAAAATTGGAGTTGACTTGATGGCAACTGGAGCAAATATATACTATATGCCTGACTATATGCTGAGATTGTATTGTCTACATAACAACCCGGTGCCATGGGGTACTATCACCCCATTGTACAGATTATGGGAAGGAATGGTAAGTAACTTGCCATAGTCTCACATCTTCTAAGTGGCAGTGCTGGGATTTGATGCCCAATTTGCCTGATTTGAATACCCATGCTCTCAATGGAGGGAGGAGGAAGACACAGCGAAATAAAATCCAAAGATGTCCCCAAACCTGGTGTTTTCTGGTATGTTCCTCTTATTTGTACTCTCCAGACTTCAGAGAGAGCATGGTTTGAGATCTAGGAAGAGTACTGGTGTGACCGTGTAGAGAGGGCGTTGGAGTGATGTCGAGAGGACTGTGGAGGAGCAGCCAAAAGCCAAGTGGTCCACAACAGGAGAAGCTGTTCAGCTTCTGTTCATCATTTTGTGCCTGGATAACGAATTCTTTATATCAAGCTTTTGCAAACTCTACTGACTGCTTGGACCCCCTCTTGTAGGGAGCTGTCCCGTGCATTACAGGAAGTTTAGTGCTGTAAGTTGGGCACTAGGCTGCTGACTGCAAGATTGGCAGTTCAGACCCACCAGGTGCTCCATGGAAGAAAGTGGAGGCTTTCTGCTTCCGTAAAGATTGACAGTCTTGGAAACCCTCTATAGGGTCACCATGAGTTGGAATTGACTCAATGGCAGTGGGGTTGGGAGTTTTGCATGTGTCTTCTATCCACTCGATCACAGTAGTGAGCCTTCCTTCCCAGTTAAGACCATCAAAAATGGCTCCAGGCATTTCCAGATGTCCTCAAGGAGCAGTGAAGTAGTATCAAGAGGTTTCCAAGGAATGACTGATGGGTGTGAACCACTGACCAGTCAATTAACTTAGCCTATAGTGCCACACCAAGGAGCTCTGGTAGTGTAGTGGTTATGAATCGAGCTGTTAGCCTCAAGGTCAGCAGTTTGAAACTACCAGCTGTTCCGTGAGAGAAGAAGGAGGCTTTCTGCCCCTGTAAAGATTTACAGCCTCGGAAACCCTGTATAGGGTCGCTATGAGTCGGAACCGACGCCACGGCACACAACAACAACAACAGTGCCACACCAGGACTCCATTTGTTGAGAAGAATCATGGATTTCTACTTAAGGAGAGCATGCCCTGACTGCTGAGAACCCCTCATGTTAAAAAGCCAGAACAATCCCAGAAGAGCATTACCTATATTTCAAAGACCTCCTTTCCATTCCCATCTCAAAGTGGCCTCTCTTTGCTCAACTTTATTTTCCTTCATATACCTTCAGCTCTGAGGAAGCTGGTCTTTCTGTCTCTTGTGGTTACTTGGTTCCTTTCACCTCCGAACCTTGGCAGATGCAGATCCCTACCAGAAAATGCCCTTCCTCCTTCTTGATGTGTCTCATCCATCCTCCAAGGGTCTGTTCAAGGCTCTGCTCCTCCAGCAGCTTCCAGTGGTCACCGGAGGCCTCTTGTCCTTTTTTTCATGTCTGTACTCCACTGCATTCTTTGGCCTGGCCTGCCTGCCCACCCCTATGGTGTGACCACACACTGGAGCTCCTGGAGAGCAGAGCCCCAATCACAGGCTCCCCAAGTGCCCCACACACACCCAACACAGTGCTAAACATGTGTAGGGTCTGTTAGAGGAATAGGTATAGTTTCATGCACGAACTCTACCCAAATGCCAATGGTTCACATGCTCAGCTGCTAATGGAAAGGTGGGAGGTTCAGTCCACCCGGCGGTACCGGACAAGCTCCTTCTAATAAATCAGCCACTGGAAACAGGGTGGAGGGTCACACTGGAACGTCTTGGATAGAGTAGGAGAAACATGTAAAATACAACTCAAAATCATGAAAAGACTAGGCTTACCAGTGGATAGAGTCAGGTGGAACCCTGAGACTATGGCCCTTAGTCACCCTTCAGGTCTGGATATGAGCTCACTCCCCTA